AGAAGCACCCTCCTAGCTCCTGTGTAGGCTTATAAAATGTTGTCTTTCCCAAAGGAAAGGTTTTTTTTTATTGTTTTTTAAAATATTTTTATGGTGCATACTCCAGGAGAATGTTCTGAAGAGGGTACTATTTAGTTTTCCCAGCTCCAGGAGAATTTTCTGAAAAGAATACCATTCAGTTTTCCTAGTGATATTTGCCAGTGATGACAATAAAAGATGTTTTCCTAAGAAGATGTGGAGGTTCATCTCCCAAGCCCTCTTTCTCTACATCGAGCTGCCAAGGATTGTAGGACTTAAATGAACTCTGAGAAATATCTTGCACTTTAGAAAGTTAATTCCATGAAGCAATGAACCAGAAAGTGTGGAATTCACGTAGTATAAATTAATGACCTGACAGGTGTGAAGAGTCTATGCAGGCATCAATTTAGTATATCAATATTTACTTTATATGAAGTTTCTAGACCTGTCTCTCAGTGTACTTAAAAGCAATACCAGCATGTCATATATCCATAGACGATAAATATGTCTTTACATGTGACACAGATAAAGTATGTATGAAAAGTTCAGTTAATATGTATCCACTAGTGAAAGCCACAAATCCATCATAAGAAATTAATTTGGTCTTTCCCCAGCTCATGAACGCTACTTTTAAATCTTGGATGGATTGTTCTTCCTTTCATTTGTCTAAGCAGCTTTTATAATACCCTTTACAATTTACATCAACAAGGTTTGTGTGAGTAAGTTGTGTGTGTGACCTGGCCATTCTGTGCTTTTTGCAAAGCTAAAATTGTCCTTAAACCTCAACCTAGAATCCTTTCAAAGGTGGTGTCTGGATTTCACATCAGTCAGCTAATTGCTTGTTTCTTTTCCAAGCTCTCATGCTTATAAAAAGATCTAAACTACAAACATTTGATACTGAAGAGTTCTGCCTTACTGTCTTAATAGGATGAGTTTTTCAAAAGGCTCCTAACTTTTTGTTTCTTATGCTGACAACTATAAGGGTCGTGTATTTTGTTGGGGTTTTTTTTGTAGGGAAGTTAGGAAGTGTATAAAACAGGAATATAGTTGTGTTAGTTCCTCCTGCAGAAGTGAAGATACTATCCTGGGGAGACTGTGCCTTTTTAAGGCATTTCAGGGCCTTCTGACTTGTGATGGACTTCATAAAGGACAATGAATCCATGTCAGCCATTTGTTAGTAGCTAAATGACTAGGTAGCTGATTAGCAGTTAATCAGCTAACAAACACCTGGTTCTGACAAATAGCTACCCAGTACTCAGTTGGAGGAGATCAGCTCCTAGAATTCTTGTAAGGGAGAGGTGCTTCTAGGGAATGCAATAGAGACCTCAGGAAAAGAAACTTAAGGAGGGACTTTCTAGATGGCTGCAGAAGATCCAGCCTGTGAGAAGCTGAGTGCTGCCAGAAGAGCTGCATTCAAAACAAAAGCCTGGCAGATGGAAGGAATAAAGGTCTAGAGTGACTTGCAGGTAAAGGACCTGGAAACAGGATTGCTAGACGAAGGTGGGACTGGTAAATTCAGATGGAGTTTGCCTCCCCTGCTATCAAGCCTGGGTGAAAATCTTTCTTGTGTTTCTGCTGAACTTTCTGTTTATAAATCAAACTCTCAGCAGCTGCTACAGAGTGTGTATGTCTGGGGCTTGGTAGATAAGTCTCCATGAATTTATTGACAATCCAATTTGGGAAATTAAAGGCAAGGTGCACCTACACAACTGGGTCTGGACACAAGTGGCCGCACAGGGATGTCACACCTCTTTCAGAGGCACACACAACTAGCACAGTGGTTGCCTCTCTAGCATGTCCAGACAGGTTCTGATTGTTGAAATATGTTAGGCTCCTACTTAGGGGGGTTAGGCATACCATTGTTATTAGATCCAGCATCTAGATTGGATGCTTACTTTAGTAGAGCCATACTATAGTACTTATTCAGTTAGAGCTTTTTGTTTGGGCCTGGTCTGATGAAACACCAGGGAGTGAGGTTTTGGTCTCTGAGTTTCAGTTCAGAATATAGTTGTAAACAAGAAAGTGCATTTTGTTTGTTTTGGAATGATTAATGTGAAATCTATGTATTAGGGATGTAAAATCCTGTTTAACCAGTTAGACACTTAATTGGGATTCTGCAGGTATAGGCCAGGCTAGGCTGGAGTGGGCAGGGGGCTGCTCAGGCCAGGCCTGCTGCGCTGGGCCCACTGCAGCATAGGTGGGGGGCTGTATTGGGGTTTGGGCGGTAGCACCCATCTCTCCTAGCCTGTGCTGCGGTGCAGTGGATCCAGGTGTGCTGGAGCAGACCGGTCAGGTTGCTGACTAACCAGTTACTGGCAAAGCATTACCTGGAAAGGTTGATGCTTACTAGTTAATGGTTAACTGGTTACATCCCTATTGTGTATGACGTCTGCTGCTAAGTAAGAAGAAAATTCATTAATGCTGAAACAATTACTCCTGAATTACTATGCTGGGCCCAAATTCTGCAGACATCACCCAAATGGAAAAGCTATTTTTCAGCTCCAAACTGCTGTAACTTTTTATTGTAGGACGTAAAGCTGACAGCAAGCAATGATGACTACTATTTTGTATTTGAGGATTATTTATATCAGGTAAGTAACTAGCTCTTCTTTATAAAAGACTAAAGTATACATGTGTTGGATTGTAACATCTTCGGGGTAGGAATGTGTTCCAATACATGTTTGAACTGCACCTAATAGGGCCCCTGAGGGCCGTAGATGCTACTGCAATACAATGAATAAATAACATCACTTTCTGGATATAGGTTATATAAAATAACCTTAATGCTATAAAAAGATGAGGGTCAGTCACTCTCCTGTGTCAATGCCCTTGATTTTCTGAAGTCACTAGTAATCTCAAATAGAATGTTTCTGAATTTGAACAAGACTAGACTAGAAGCTAAGCAAGACTCTTGGATGGGAGCATATTGGAGGAGTCAAAGACTTATTTAGAGGTTTTCAACTTGGAAATGATTCTGTGTGTTTGTTTTTTAGTACAATAACAAAAAAGGGGCAAAGTCAGCCTGTTCCAGTAGTCATAAATTAGTGTAAACCAACAAAAAATAGAGTTGAAGGGCACATGAAAATCAACTGTCTTGAGGATAATAGGCAAAATCTTAGTTTAAAAATAAAAACGTTGTTTGATAATGACCTATTGTCGAAGGCACAAAGTGGTTATATATTTTAAAAATAAAAAAATACAGTAATTATAGTATAGTGTGGATGCAGCGATTTCATTTTCATAATTTCAAACTTTTTTTCTAGCAAATGGAAATCTAGCTAATTTATATGGAATTACCTACATTACTTCCCTTTAAATTTGTTTTAATGGAAGGAGATTACATTCATGAATTTCCTAATATATATTTGATTGCAGTGTCAACATAAATGTCATGGAGCAAACTTACCATTTTCACAGCACTTTCAGCTTGATTAGTCACAGCTGTTAGTGTGGGCATGTTTAATTCGGTTTTTATAGCTACATCAAACTAAGTATGTGCCTTTTTGAAGTTAGTGTGCCTTTGTAAGTCTGTGCTTATAATAGGAGGAAAAAACTAATCAAGAATCTGTTCTTAATGCTGCTTGTTCCCATATGTAGAAAATATATACATTTATAATTAAATATTTATTCAAACATATCTGTATTTACATAACTTTAAGCATTTATGTGTCCAGTTAAATTTATGTGCATATTTCCTCTCTAAGTACAATTCTTGTTTTCAAATACAAATATATCAGAATTAAAATATGATTTATACTCTGAAAGGACACTGCATAAAGTGACATCCCAAAAATCCAGATTTATTTGGTTTCAAATGCTTATTTGTAAATTTTTCTCCTCTTAGGAGTCAGAAGGTAAATTTCTTGTCAGTTTTATCATCTCAGGTTGGGAGTGGAAATAAAATTCTTCTTTTGACTTAATAAATATTTTACAGTTAGTAGTTACCTGATAGTCATGAAGAAGAAAGAATCATTTTTAGAATAATAGAATAAAATAATAATACAAAATAATAATAATAGAATAAAATAAAATAATAATAATCAAAGTTTGTCTCTGTTAGTGCTAGAAGGCATATGTTATGCATATGTCACCGCTGTGGCAGTTGATCTGGAGTTCGATTTTAGTGGGTTTAGTAAAGACCCACTAAAATTGAACACCGAAGGTGCCCCCATCAATACCCTAACTCCTATCCTCATGAGGAATAAGGGAAGAAGACAGGAGTGTTTGTCCTGTTGACCTTCCCTTCGGAGAATGGCACCAAAGCTTGACTGGAATTGCATACCTTATGCCAACTTTTGGCTGTAGTGTGGACACTATGGCCTCAGGAGTGGAAAACATATATGCTATATCTGAGGACTTTTCTTTTGGAAGTTATTTCTGAGTCCATAACTATGTGTGAAAGTTTTATTTTTGTTTCCTTTCAATATTTAATCTTAATTGAGTACTAAAGATGACTATGATTGTAGGAATTCAAAGAAACAAAGAGTTTAAAAAGTGTTAAATTTTAGCCGCACTAAGACTTGAAATACAACCTATTTATTAATTTATTCCATTTTTCAAAACAGTTTGTAAAAAGATTATCTCCTAAAGCAGGAGTGGGCAAAAGGGTCTTCATGGGTTGGATCTGGCCCACCAAGCGGGTTGATCCAGCCGGCGGAGGCTTTGCCATACCCCTGCCACCAAGCCAATTAGGGCCCAGGGGCTGGGGGAAACACACTGGCTACGTCTACATTGGCATGATTTTCCGAAAATGCTTTTAGCGGAAAAGTTTTCCGTTAAAAGCATTTTCGGAAAAGCATGTCTAGATTGGCAGGATGCTTTTCCGCAAAAGCACTTTTTGCGGAAAAGCGTACGTGGCCAATCTAGATGTGGTTTTCCGCAAAAAAGCCCCGATCGCCATTTTCGCGATCGGGGCTTTTTTGCGGAAAACACTACTGTGCTGTTTACACTGGCCCTTTTGCGCAAAAGTCTTTCGGGAAAAGACTTTTGCCCAAACAGGAGCAGCATAGTATTTCCGGAAAAGCACTGACGATCTTACATGAGATCGTCAGTGCTTTTCCGGAAATTCAAGCAGCCAGTGTAGACAGCTGGCAAGTGCCAGTCTAGACACAGCCACTAAGTTTCCTCCACCCTGTGAGGAGCATGCAGTACTTAGAAGTGCCATACGCTTCTGGCATGGTTGGGGGAGGCTTTGTGTGCTCCTCTGTCCCTAGACCAATCATGGTCTATGGGTGGGGAAGTATCCTTGCCCCTCCCCTTCCATTTGAGGGCCCACCCCTTTCAGAAAGACAACCTTTATTTCGTGCCTGATGTTCAGCTTCAACTAGTTCTCAAATTATTTCATTCTGTAGGGGCTCCACAGACCATAGTTTAAGAACCACTCTGCTGTGTCATATTGTTTGCTGACAACTGAAGTGGCAAATGTTGGTTAAGCAAGAGAATTTGAAAATGAAAATTACACTTTAGAAGGGAGATAGAAATCAGTTTTCTGGTATTTCATATTTTTGGTAGAATTAGTTATTGCTTCTTAGATTGCAAGCTCTTTGGGATAAGGTTGATGGTTTGTATGGAACCCAAAATGGGACCTTGATCCCGTCTGGAGCATTTGGGCTTACAATAATACAAAAATTAAATAACAATAATAATATTATTGAATTGTACCATTGATACACATAAATAGGGATCTATCGATTTGTGGAGAAATTATACTTTTTTTTGTAGATTTGATTACAGCATAAATGGACATTTGCTGTTTATACCATAATCAACATATCAAAAATGTGTGATTTCTACACAATATTTCTCAAACTGGGAACTCCCATTGCAAAAAGAGGTTGCAAGCCTGTTAAGAGGCTCACATTATTGCCTTCCTTATTTTTCTGCTGCTGTTGGCAGAGAATTAAGAAGAAGCTGCTGCCTGCTCTATGTGCACAGCTGGGCACCTGGCCAGCAGCTGCTGCTTGCCACCCACCCAGTTCTGAGTTAGGGATGTTAGAGTATATATAACTAACCGTTTAGCCAGTAAGTGGATAAGTGGTGTCAGTCACTCAGCTTTCCGAGGGAGCTGAGTGGGTAAGGGCTGCCGGCTCTGCTCCTGGGTGGGGAAGTGGCTTTGCTATCACAATGAAGCCACCTCCCTAGGAGCTGCCAGCCCCACTTCTGAGGAGACTCCCTTGAGATTTTCAGTGGTTACACGGTTACTCTATTGCACAATTTTTAACGTCCCTACCGGCTGCTGCACAGAAGTCAGGTGGTATATTACTTCTGTGCTGCTGTTGTGACTGCTGGCCAGGCACCCAGCTCTAAAGGCAATGCTGTCATCACTATGTTTTGGCATCAGAAGTGGGTGGCCAGAGACCAGATTTCAGGAGGAAGACCAAATTCCAGAGTCTGTAACATGATTTTCATAGCCACAAATTTAGTAGACCCTTAGTCATAAATAAACACTGGGCATAAATAATAGAGGCAGTGAGATAAAACTGCTAATTTTCAATTACTTAAATTAGTGTGATTTCTGTATTTCATTAGTATGACTTTATAAGACTCTCCTACATTACATAATTCAACTCTATTGATAGAGAAATTTTATACTGGCTATTGTGTGCTTCATGCTTATTTTTCTCTTGTTTGGCCTTTGAAATTAGTCCAATACTATCAGTCCGAAATTAAACACCTTGTTAATTTTGTCAATTACGTGCGTGCTTTAAAATAGCATGTTGTTATGGTTTCCTTTGCCTTTATTTCTCTTGAGACCTATAATTAATAGATTTTAAGGTCAGAAGGGGTCATCATGATCATCTAGTACTATGATGGGCAACCTGCAACCCATGGGCTTCATGTGGACCACTGGAGCTCCATCTGCAGCCTGCGCACCTTAGTCTTTTCCTCCTCTTCCCCATGTGCTTCTCGCACACTTGGAAACCAGAGCCCTGCAATTCCTACCCTTCCCTGTTCCCTCCAGCACTTTCAGGGCACTGCAGAACCATTGATTTGTGCTCCATCCCCACCCCTCTCCCTCCCTCCTAGAGCTGGAACAGCTGTGTACAGTTGGTTTGCAGCAGTTCACACTCCGGGAGAGGGCAAGGAGTAGGGTCGGAAAGCAAATCAGTGGGTTTGCAGTACCCCAAAAGTTCTGGGAGGGAGGGGGAGAGTAGGAAGTGCAGGGATCCTGTATCCCAGCACTTAGCGAAAGGGGACAAATGCGGGGGGGGGGGGGGAGCAACAGATGGAACCCCAGTGGGTCGTGAGCTGCTGTGATCCACTGAGATGGAGGGCAGCCCACTCCCTATTCTTGTTTGCCCTTCGCTGATCTAATGAGACTCCCTGTAGAACACGGCTTGAAGTACCTCACCTAGCAATTTCCATATTTAAGCCATAACTTTTGAGCTATAGCATACCTTTTAGCAAGAGATTCAGTCTTTATTTAAAAACTTGCAGATACCAGTGTTCCTAAGAGAGGGCTGCAGATTAATGTTAGATTTTTTTTCCTACTGGGGAACATTATTTGATTAGTCTTTCTTGATTAGTTTTTCCCACATCAATTAACATATATTTAGTATAAACTTTGCCTGTGCATTACAGTTTGAGGATGCTTGAGAGTTCTGTAAAACTATTTAATTTAGAGTGTTTAAGATAGACTGTTTATTTTTAAAAGATGTTTCTATATGAGAAATAATTTGGAATCCAACAAGGTAACATGTTAACACAAAAATATCTGTTTTGAAATAGAAGTGCAAGTGGTTTTCAAAAGTCACAATTTTATATTTTTGTTTTTGACAAATTTTAGTATCTGAAAACTATTTACAATACTTAATTCAAAGAAAAACAGTTATTTGATTAAGCAGAAAATATGTGATGAAATAGCATTACAACATTTAAAGTTGATGCACCCTGTCAGGAAGCAGCAGACTTAACCTTAACTCTGCCACCTTGTGTATGTTTATGATGGTGCAGTCTTTGCATGATAACTAAGGCTGCGATTTAGTCACAGTTATGTTTAGTAAAAGTCATAGACAAATCATGGGCAGTAAACAAAAATTCATTGCTCATAGACTGTCCAAGAATTGCACTATAAATACCCCTGACTAAATCTTAGGTGGTCTGGGATGCTGCTCCAAGGTGAGAGCAGGCAGTCCAGGGTTCTTCCACTGCAGTTCTGAAACCTGGGGATGCTGTTGCTCTGGCAGTGCCCAGGGTTAGCTGCCTGGGACCTTCCCAGCAGCAGCCAGTGCAGCTGGCATGACTGACCCTGAGGGGTAACCCCAACTGCTCCGGTGGCCCTGGGATCCAGCTGCTTCAGAACTCATGGAGGTCCTGGAAAATCACGGAATTTGATGACCAGGCAATTTTAGAACTGCACATGCACAAAAATGCACTTACTTCATTTGTTCATGCAGTTAGTATGATGGCTGTCTATCATGCTAATTGGATATTGAAGTGGCCCACTAGATCTAAATCATAGGAGTGGAAGGGACCTAGAGAGGTCATCTAGTCCAGTCGCCTGCACTCATAGCATCACTAATTATTATCTAGACCTTCCCTGGCAGGTATTTGTTCAACATGCTCTTAAAAATTTCAAATGATGGAGATTGCACAGCCTTCCTTAGGCAATTGAGGTAAGTGGTCAGTTGCATGCACAGTTACATATAACTGCATATGTTACTATCACCAGGTGGATTTGAACCTGGGATCTTTGGAGCTTAGTATAGGAGCTGCTACAGGTTGAGCTATAAAGGCAGCTGGTTCTCAGCTTAGGGTATAGAGCTCACTTGTTCTTAATTTTTTCTGTAAGTAGTCTAAGTGCCACTGCATGGCACAGTGAATCACACCCACTAGGTGTGTGGTTTACACATACACAAATGATTTACCCACACATCTTGGCATATGTGGGTCTGAAAATATAAACATTGAAATTCTTGGGCTATATTGGGCTATATTGTGTTTCAAAAATTAAAAGTCTCTTAAGAGTTTTTTTGGTATTAACTCTATAGCATTAGATATGGAAGATCTTAAAATGCCTCAACTGCCAGTGTATTGTTTATTGAGGAGGTCAGATGATGTTTTTTTACATTGCTTTTTGCAGGTACTGCTCTGTTTTTCCCGAGATACATCAGTACTGGAGCACTTTTCTTATAATAGTGCTACTCCACCCAAATCGTATATACGAGGTAAAAAAAAATATCGTAAAAGATAATACAAAGAGTAGTGTTGATTGCTGAATATAGTATACCGAAAAAGCAAATCCATATGGATTTTTAATTCATGTACATTACACATGCACTCAAAAAACTATATTATAAGAACATAAAATTGCAAAGTCAGGCATTCATAATGTTGGGAAATACCAGAATTAAGGTTGTCTATTTATATGTATTATGATAGAGTCTGTAATTACATGGTCTTATACGTTTTTTTCCCACAGAACCCTTGCCATCTTCATTGCACAGGATGGGACAGCTGAGGCAGGGGAAATACATACATAATAGTATTTCCTTTTTGGAATTATTACTGCACATAGGATCCCTGGTTATGGAACACGACACCACTCTGCTAGGTGTCTCTGTCCATAAGGGTATATCTACACTTGATCCCTAGTTCAAGCCAGGGATGCAAATGTAGGCGACTGATATTGCTAATGAAGCAGGGATTTAAATATCCCGCGCTTCATTAGCATGATCTCGACTGCACGTTACTCTGCTCAACAGCTGATTCGAACCAGGAAATACACACCAGGACGCGTTAGTTCAAACTAAACCCCTTGGTTCGAACTAACGTCATGCCAGTTCTCTTCCAGAATATGATCTGAGGAAGTGGGTCTGACCCATGAAAGCTCATCACCTAATAAACCATCTTGTCAGTCTTTAAAGTGCTACATAGTCCTGTTTTTTGTTTCAGCTAGACCAGACTAACACGGCTACATACCTATTACTATCTGGTCTAGCTGAACCAAAAGACAGAACTATGTAGCACTTTAAAGACTGACAAGATGGTTTATTAGGTGATGAGCTTTCATGGGTCAGACCCACTTCCTCAGATCAAATTACTATCTGGTCTAGCTGAACCAAAAGACAGAACTATGTAGCACTTTAAAGACTGACAAGATGGTTTATTAGGTGATGAGCTTTCATGGGCCAAACCCACCTCCTCAGAACAAATAATGGAAGAAAATTGTAACAACCATATATACCAAAGGATACAATTTAAAAAAATGAACACATATGAAAAGGACAAATCAAATTTCAGAACAGAAGGAAGATGGGAGGGGGGGAGCTAAATGTCTGTGAGCTAATGATATTAGAGATGATTATTGGGTAGGCTATCTTTGTAATGGGTAAGATAATTAGCGTCTTTATTCAAACTTAGGTGTAAAGTATTGAATTTAAGCATGAATGACAATTCAGAGGATTCTCTTTCAAGTGTAGTCTTAAAAGGTCTTTGAAGTAGGATGCAGGTAATCAAGTCGTTGAGACAATGTCCTTTCTGGTTGAAATGTCAAGAAACTGTTTTTTCTTTGTGATCCTGTCTAATATCTGTTTTGTGGGCATTGATCCTTTGGTGAAGTGTCTGAGATGTTTGTCCAATGTACAAAGCAGACGGACACTTTCGGCACATGACAGCATAAATTATATTTCTGGATGCGCAGGAATATGTGTTCTTGATCTTATAACTCACTTGGTTAGGTCCAATAATGGTATCAGCAGAGTGAATATGTGAACAAAGCTGGCAACGGGGTCTGTGGCAAGGGAAGGTACCAGGGTTGGTATTAGTGTAGTCCTGTGGTTGTTGGTAAGAATCATCTTGAAGTTAGGTGGTTGTCTATAGGAGACTATGGATCTGTCCCCCAGAGCCTCTTGGAGTTTAGTATCCTGTTCCAGTATAGGCTGTAGTTTATTGATAATGTGTTGGACAGGTTTAAGTTGGGGGCT